ATCCTTTGGTAGGGAGGGAAATGCTGGAGGTGCCAGCAGTGCCCACCACGGCTGAGGTGCCTCTGTCAGTGTCTCCTACTCATTTCAGGGGTGCTGTGTGCAAGGATCCTGTCTGACCTACAACATCAGTGGGGACAAGGTAGGGACACTGCTGTGGTGGCTTTGCCATACTCTAGGCCCCCCCTGGACTTTGTGCCATTAGTCCATCACACACAAACACAGAATCAGCTGTTAAATCCCACCCAGGTGCTTTTTGCTGTTAAATGCACAGAACATGCTGGTGCTGGACATGCCTGTCGCTGAGACCTGAGGAATGGGGATTCTGTGGCTGCAGTCCCCAATCCCCACTGTGGCCAGGACTCAGTGGGAATGGGGGGAGAGGGAGCAGCAGGGTGCTGGGCTTCTTAGGGTGTCTCTTCCTGTCTTTGGCTTGCAAGAATTTGGCTCCACAAACTGAAATAGAAAGACCTCATGACCCCATAGTGAGACTGCCCTGCCGAGCACTGTCAGATCCATGGCTGGGCAGATGCTGTGTGTCCTGAAAGAGCTGATCCCTAAATAAATCGCATTTGCATTGTCAGGATGCAGCATCCACACCTCCCACAAGACAGAGGCTCAAGAAAGTGACCCCCTGCTCCCAGGGTGCACATGCTGTGAGGGGTGGGGAGTGTGCCCAGGGATTAGGACCCCAGAAGGAGTTAGGTTTGGGCTGGTGTTGGTATTTATCAGCTGCTTCACTGATATTGATCCTGAGCGTGTAACTCACTGACTCCTGGATAATTTCTTGTCATTAGTAAGTCAATAAACAGCTTTGATCCTGACTTCATTGAGCTGACATGATTTGAACATCTTTTCCTGGTGACAGGAAACTGGCGCTGAATCAAGGACATCTTTGGAAAGACTGTTGTGTTTTTAGGAAATTACTCCCAGGAAAATCTGCTGGGGAGGCAGGCTCTGAGAACCCTGGCTGTTCACCAGAGATTTGTTCTGCATCATGTGTAAGGAATCATTCTCCCTGGGAGTTCTCAACAGTGAGGAAGGAACTGTAAAACCAGCTCCCCATGAAAACTGGGGTTTGTGATGCCTCTCTTCATGTCACTGAAAGTATGGGTCAGATTTCCCTTATTGTTTTTAGCTAACAAACAAATTAAATGGTTTGAGTCTCAATCCTTAGAGCAGAGCAAAAAAAAAATGAATCCAAATATCTGTCCACAGCTTTCCTGGAGAATTCAAGGCTGTGAATCTCAGGGAGCACCTAGTTAATTTTTCATGAAGCAGCTCTGCTGCCAAGCCGCTCTATCATGTCACTGGTACTGCTGAGCTGGGGTGGATGTGCAGCCTTGTCCAGCGCTGCTCCCTGGAGCCCTACACAGACCCAGAAGCCCTGATCCCTCAGCAGCAGGGATGTACCAGTCTCTCAGTGGTCCCAGAGGGATGGCAGGGCAAACCTTGGTTTCCTCAGGCAGACAGGCCATGTCTGAATGATGCCATCAATGGGAGAGCAGAGCAGATCCACCTCATTTTCCTACCATAGCTGGGACATTTCCCTGCTTTGACTGAAGCCTGCTAATGCCAAGGTCTCAGACTCTTCTTGGGAATATGTGCCCCTTACTGTTTGTCTGACAGCTTCATTTCAGGTGATCCAAGCACAGAGAACTGACGCAAACACGTCTGTTCACACCAGTCCTATTCTTCTCCCATTGACCAAATCCGTTCTGGTTTACTCCATGTTTCCATCCACACTCAGCAATTTGGCTTTGTGCTCTTGGGGCTTTGAGAGTCACTTTAGCGAGACCTGGACATCACCACGTCATTCTCTTTATGGGAATCTGCTTTGGTTTTTCCAAAATATCCGATGGTCAGAGACCTCTGCATTCAGCAGCTGCTGGGGAGAGGCCAAGTTGCTGTCATGGCTGAAAGGTCACTGCGCAGGAGCTATTCCCAGAGCTGCCACCCTGCCCCTTCCCTGTGCACTGACCAGTATCGAGGCTGTCTTCATGGTAATTCAGGTTTTGGACAGTGGCTGCTGGAGTATGAAGCCATTCAGGATGGATGATAACTTAATACCATCTTGTTAGCACCCTCGTCCATCTTATCAAAGGTCATGATCTCACCATGACAGCCGGGCTTTGTGCTCTAGAGGTCCTGGCTGATCAGGTTGCAAGGAAAGTGACAACTCCTTCAGTGCTTGACATCTTTGCCACTCCTTCCTTGGCCTTTAACTAAGATATTTTTTCAAAGCTGGAAATAATGTGTGTCCAAAGCTGGCTAATCTGCTGGAAATATTTATTTCCAAGTTTACAGAAAGTATTAAGACTGTGCAAGCAATTTTTCTGGATTATTTTTCAGCAGAGCTGGGGAGCAGCCATTGCCATCCACGCCTGTTGTCAGTGAGGACATCAGGGAGTGAAGAGTTCACCCCAGCCCTCCCAGCTGGTGCATTCTCCCCTCAGCACAGCTTTTGCTGTGCTTGTTGGGATGCGCTCCATGCATGGGGACCACATTTGGTCTGGGGCCCATGGAGGAAGGTTTATTTTCCCTGCCCCAAAGAGCTGCTGCGGTGTCTCTCTGTCTCCTGGGCAGCAATAAGGGCAGGGCCCTGACAGGAAGGTGTCATCCCCCAGTGGGATCAACAGTCCTTCCAGAACTTCAAAAAGACACCAAACCAACATGCTCTGGCCTGGGAGCTGCCAGGTCAATGGCATCAGTGTCTCCACAGTGTCTTCCTGTTAAAACACATCCCACCTCCAGCCCTCTGGAGCACTCCAAGCAGAGGTGCTGGACTTGGAAGCAATTCCATGCTGGTTAGATAAGGACAGCATTTCCCAGTCAGGTGGTGTCTCTCCCAAGAGTCTGTCAGCTCAGGGTATCTGTTAGGCCGTGACATCTGATCAGGCTGCAGGCAAGTTGGATGGGAATGCTGGGCATGTCCTGGTGGCCTGGATAGGGAACACCTATCCAGGCTCTATTTCTATCTCCACAATCTGTCTGTACACAGGAAAAAGTCCTTCATTTATCATAGCATGTGGCACATCCCCACACAAGGGCTTACTGCTCAGTACTGAAGCCCTGAGAACCGTAGAAGTATGAGCAACCAGGGGTGGCCAGTGTTTTGACACATTTTTTAGTCAGAACATCAATTTTATTTAGAAAAAAGTAAGAAAGAAAGGCATTTTATCAGGGCATGACATCTCAGCCACATCCACATCTTGACAGGCTGAAAGGATGATGTACCAAACCAGGCACCCAGAGCTGGCTGAGTCTGCACCTACAGGTCGTTGCTCAATGATTTACCTAACTCCTAATATCTCCAAGGAAATATTTGCAGTAGAAGTCACCAGAAACAAGACCTTGTTTGTTTTGCTCCCCACCAATTATTTTGGATGTCCCAAATGACATCACCTGCCTTTTTCCTGCTGAGAAGCTCTATATATGAAGATCCTGGATCCCGGTGATCTTCAGAAGACAGAGACATTGGCTGGAGAGAGAGCTTGGTCAGGTAAGAGCAAATTTACTCCTCAAAAAGTGTGCTCCTTGCTTCTGCTTCTGCAAACCCTCAGTGTTCCTTTGAGAGTGTTGATCTTTTAACAAAAATTGTTATTCTTGCCTGCTGCCTGCCTGAATTATGCTCTGAGAAGTAAATGGTGCCTTTCAGTGCAAGTTTCTCCAGAAGAGATGTGCGTGTTCATTGGATTTGCAGTCCTTGCAGAAGAAAGGGTATTTCAGAGTTTTAATAAACAATTATCACTTAAATTATCTTTGGTATAACTCGATTATCTGCCATAGATTTCCAGCTAAGGTGTATTAGACCTCTCACACTTGTTTTGATCCCTTTTTGATGAGTTATTTACATTTAAATAGATTTGGAGCAATGAAGTTCATTTTGGTTCTTTAAAAAAGAAAACGAAGCTACTTCTTTTTCTAGCTAGGTCCCACAGAAATATTTCAATGACACTGAAATGTTAAACTTTACTTTCTCTTTCTTACAATTCCATGCAGAGGGAAGCGCCAGATTCTGATGTTTGTGAAGAAATCGTGACATTCACCCTGGAGGTTCTTTCCTTGCTAGATATATTGGTGCATTTGTAGATGTTGTTGCTTTTCTCCTAAAGACAACCCTGTTGTCAGAAATGTCTTGTTTTCCCATTCTGTGGCATGCAGGATTTATTTCTTGGGGAAATCTCCATCCAGAATGGATGCACCCCTGATCATGCAGCTCAGCCATGCCATTGTTCACCAGCACAGGGGGGTCACAGCAGGAACATCCCAACAACCCTTTGCTTTCCCCTTGGCTGCTCTGGCCATTGGTTTTTGGGGTAACTGGTGCTGACATTCTGGTTCTGGCTGCAGGAAAGTGCCACCAGGAGGGTTACTGTCCATCATCACCAGTGTGATGAGGAGGCAGGAGAGGTGCCAGCAAGCCTTGTCCCTGATTTTGACTTCCCTTACAGGCATTCCTTCTTTCTCCTTCCTCCCTCCTTTCTCCTCCCTTCTCTTTCCTCCCTCCATGGGTTGGTGATTGCTCTCCCAGCACTGCACTCATGGCAATCCTTTCCCACAGTTATCAGGACCAAAGATGTTTGTGTTGTGGACTGTTGTCCTCCTCAACAGCCTGCTGATCCCTTCACAGGGACTTGGAATCCCATTCCTGGTTGCCAGAGCTGAAACGAATGGTAAGTTTGTATAAACACAATCTTGTAAACAGGATTTATCCCTCTTCTGAGGCCAGTTCTTCTCTCTTTGTCTCTTGGCCATGCTCAGAAAATCAGAAGATAGTTCAGATATGCCCAGAAGTAGTGGCAATGCTGGTAATTTGCATTTATAAAGCACTTTGGAGATGGCACTTCAGATACTTCACAGTGGCTGGTGCCACCACCTCATTTGTATTTGTATGAGGGACAGGGGAGGGGAAGGAAGAGCCAGGCCGGCACACCTTGTGTGCTGAGTCCATGTAGCTCACAGTGACCTCTCATCCTGTTCTTCAGGTTTCAGAGATTCACCAGCCAAAGGTGTTCCCCAGAGAGCTCCACATGGTCTCCTTGGTGGCAATCTGCTCGGCGGTCTCCTTGGCAAGAATGGAGTTGTTGGGGGTCTCCTTGGCAAAGATGGTCCTGTTGGGGGTCTCCTTGGCAAAGATGGTCCTGTTGGGGGTCTCCTTGGCAAAGATGGTCCTGTAGGCAGTCTTCTTGGCAAAGATGGACCTGTTGGCAGTCTCCTTGGCAAAGATGGTCCTGTAGGCAGTCTTCTTGGTGGAGATGGACCTGTTGGCAGTCTCCTTGGCAAAGATGGACCTGTAGGCAGTCTTCTTGGTGGAGATGGACCTGTTGGCAGTCTCCTTGGCAAAGATGGACCTGTTGGTGGTCTCCTTGGTGGAGATGGTCTCCTTGGTGGCCTCCTTGGTGGAGATGGTGCTGTTGGAGGTCTCCTTGGTGGAGATGGTCTCCTTGGTGGCCTCCTTGGTGGAGATGGTGCTGTTGGAGGTCTCCTTGGTGGAGATGGTCTCCTTGGTGGCCTCCTTGGTGGAGATGGCGCTGTTGGAGGTCTCCTTGGTGGAGATGGTCTCCTAGGTGGCCTTCTTGGCAAAGACAGTGTAGTTGGTGCTCTCCTTGACCAAGATGGTGTCCTTGGTGGTCTCCTTGGCAAAGGTGGTGTCGTTGACGGTCTCCTTGGCAAAGATGGCCTTGTTGATACTCTCCTTGACACCGTCCTTGAGCTTCTCATTGGCAAAAATGGTCTCCTTGGCAAAAATGGTCTCGTTGGCAGCCTTCTTGGTAGAAATGGTGAAGAACTCATAGGGTGAGTGAGAGTGGGAGAGCCTGAGCAGCCTGGTGTGTCTGAGCCATGCTGGGGAAAGGAGGCCCTGTTCTGGAGCCTGCACACACAGGGCCCCTCCCTCCGCTCCTGGGGTGGGCTCATAAGTGGGGTTTCATCTGCTGGGAGTTTCTGCCTGTGCCTTCTATGTGCCACAAGCTGCTCCTGGCTGGTGAGGGTGCCTGATGCCTCAGGGGGAAGAGGACCCCAGGAGCATGGCTGCAGCACTGGGCGCTGAGGGGACAGGGCTGTGCCGATGTGCTGTTCACTGCCTTTTCCTTGTTTCAACCATCCAGACTGAGAATTGTGAACAACACCCTCCCCAAAATCAGTCTGCGTTCCCTGCCGGGCTTCGGGCACCAGGTGGACTTCAACACGCAGCTGCTGGTAGAGAGCAGGTACGGCATGTCCATCAGGGGCATGGCTTGGGGCAGGGTGTCACCATCTCTTTGGAAAGAAGACAGTCAGCAAGTGTCCTGAGCTGCCTGCTGTGCTTCCCCTGGGCAGTGTGCCAGGCCAGCCACTCTGCGAGCGGGTGGAGGTAGATGCAAGGATGCTGGTCCAGGACACGTGGACGGCTCACCAGAACGCTCTGAACTGCAAGACTGTTGACATAAACACCTATGTGAGGTATGAATCTGTGTGAGCAGGTGGCCCATGGCCTGCCCGTGCTCTTGTGGCACTGGGACACCTTGGTGCTGTTGGTCATTGATGGCAGCACGTTCCTCCCTGGTGCCTTGAAGGTGATCCAGCTGTTCATCTCAGAGGGAAACAGTAGACCTTTTACTAAAATTTGGGCTAAAAAAAGAACATTTCTGAGTGTGGGGAACCTAACACTGGGCAGGATTCAGAGGGCTCAGGAATGATAATATTTCAGCACTGAGTATGGATAATGCAAATGAGGCCTCGCATTTCTCTTGTGTGAAGTCCTCTTATTTTCCAGTATTAATCTTTGTCACTTGCTATTTCCTATTTTCCTGTTACCAGACCCAGAGTGCCAGTTCTGGATGAGCCTTTGAAACGCCTCCTTAGCGGTGTCCTGCAGGATCTGGTGAGTCTGCAGAGCCACCGTTGTGTGACCCCCCAGCACAGTGCTGGGTGGGCAGGCAGCACAGGCAGGGCAGGCAGCAGGCCAGGCTGCCCCATGGATGTGGATATTTGCACAGCTGTGAGCTCAGCGGGGCGGTCAGCCTGTCCTGCTGAAAGGCACCAGCACCATCACCTGTGCCAGGCTCTGCTGGCAGATTTCTGAGCCAGGTGCTGGTTTAGCAGCCACTAACCCAGGTGAGACCCACGCTGGCTCAGAGGGGCCGCTCACTCATGCAATGCTGAGTCCTGTGTGATGGGATGTGCCCCCCAGCACTGCCTGCAGCAGCTCTGCCCACATGTGCAGCCCAGCAGAGCCCCCTGCCACTGGCTGTGTTGGTGCCACGTCACCCACTGGTGCAGCGGGTCCCAGGACCCTCTCACTCTCTGCTTCCCCAGGGCTGCAACATCATCAACGCCAAGCTCAAGGTGTTGAGCTCCCTGCTTGGCTCCAGGAACCGTAAGTGTTGACACCTATTCCCCTCCTCCCTTGTGACATCTTGCCCTCAGCATTGCTTGGCTTTTTACATTAGGTAAATACAAATATTTTAGCTGTTTTCTAAAACCACAACTCCCAGCTCAAACCAAACATTCAGTTTCCCTGCCCCACCAGCAGCAGCCAGCTCTTCCTGCAGAAACACACCACAGGAATAGTTGCTTTTAGAAACATTTTTGCTGCAAAATATTGCTTTCTAGTGTCTTTTCTAGCTGGGAATGCTGTGAGCTGCAGCTGGTTCCAGTAACTCTTGGGACCATGGGATTTGGGAGAATCCCCTGCCACTGCAGCTGCAGAGCTTTCTTCCCTGTGTTCACAGAGGTGCTCCCACTCGGTGCTCTGGGGGACCTACCCTCCTTCTCCATCCTCAGTGGTGATGCCATCCAGATGGACCTGAATGTAAGTGCCTCTGTGTTCCCTGGTTCTGACCAGACCAAAACCTCTGACTTTGGGGGATTCATTGGAACACGGTGGCTGTTAGAGGCTACTCGGATTTCAGCTGCCTTCAGGCACGTGTTCCCTGGAAAGTTCTGATGAGTCTGCTCCGGCCGCGCCCCTGCTATTGCCACTGCTGGGTCTCTGCTTTATTTTTTGCCTGTTAATCCTTGATGATGGCATGAGCAAGAGTGGCTTGATGCTACTTAATTAAGCATAATTGTAGCACTCTCATAATTTTTAATCAGAAATGTTTAATTTCATTCAGGAGCAGCAGTCACTGCTTGCAGCCACGTTCTGTTTATAAGTGGTTTGTCAAAGTTTGGTAATTGACAGGGACCAGAATCATGCATAAAATATCAGCAATGTGTCTTTCCAATCAGGATATTTGTCAGTGTTTCAGTGGGGAGGGTGTAGCAGATGCAGCCCTTGCCTGTGCCAGAGCAGCCTGGAGCAGCCCTGTCATCATTTAAGTGTTGACAAACCTCGTGTGAGCCTCTCCACGAGGCCCACAGGCAGGCAGGGTGCCCAGTGCCATCCTCTGAGCCCCACCAATGTCCCCCCTGCTCTGTCCCCTGTAGCTCCTCTCTGAGAATGCCAGGGCTGGTGTGATGAACCCCGTGCAGGGACCGCCACTCACTGCCAGCCTGCAGCTGGCCACCGGCCGCCCGCCCCGGCTCAGCCTCTCCCAGGACACCCTCAGCGCCCTGCTGGAGCAGGTCCAGGAGCAGGGAGCCCTCAACCTCAGCATCACCAGCTTGATGGGTAGCAGTTCCCCTCTGCAAGGCCAGGTCAGTGTCCTGCTTGCCCTTGGGTGATCCAAGGGCACCCACTGTTGCCTGTTTGTGTTTGTGGGCTTTGCACAGCCCCTCCCGGGCAGCGATGACACCGGTGCTGTTCCCACAGGTTACCGAGAGCAGCTTGCTGACCATGTCTGCCCTTTTCCCGCTCATCCCCCAGGTCAGTCACCTTCTCCATGTGCATTGATTCCAACCCCACCACCCACCCCACCCTGACCTCCTCTGCCCCTGCAGCTCACCCGGGTGCTCCCTGGCTCTCTGCCACTGGAGCTGCGTGTCCGAGTAAGCAACGAGCCAGTGGTGACTGTGAGGGATGGAAGAGCCACCGTCACCCTCAAGGCCACTATCGACTTCATCAGTCCTGCCCTGCAGAGCCCCCAGGGGCTCCTGTTCTCCCTCGATGTGGTGAGTGAGCTCCCAGGGGATGAGATGCCTGTAACAGAGCAATGGCTGAGGCTGGCTGACTGCTGGCATCCCCTTGGCTTGTCCTAGCCTTGGCCCTGCAGCATTTGTACTTTTGTATTTACTGCATCATCAAAATGGTGATGCCCAGTCCTTTAAACAAGCTCATAACCAGGCATAAAGCGTAAGTGAAATGTTTCAGGAATAACACAAAATAAAGACAGGAAGGTGAACCCTGGGGAGAGAGATACATGGTGCCATCTGTCACAAAAATGTGGCTTCTCGGCACAGACAAGTGTTTTTTCTCAGAATGGGTAATTTACAAATACGCTTTTCAGTCTTGGGAGCTGTGCAGGGGAATAACCTCATTTCTTTCATTGTTCCATTTCCAGGACATCGTTCTGAACATCACTCCATCAGTCTCTGATGGCAAACTGCAAACCTCCCTGGCTCTTGACAGGTGAAGCCCAGCTCTGTGGGTAGAGGGGCTCTGCCTGAGGACAAATGGGGCTGGTAGGGGACATGATAAAGCTGATGTAGACATGGTAAAGATGTCAAGGGCTCCTGGAGCCTTTCTGTCTCCTTCCTGCCACAACCTCAGACCAGCTGCACAGTTAACATCATGTGAGAGTTGTAAAATGTTGTTCTTATTTTAAAATCCTGTATCTTTATGAGGGCGAGAAAACTTCCAGACCAAGAAATGGCCTGGAGGAGGCTGCACACCCCAACTCTTCCTTGTTTTTATCTTTTGTAGCATCAACCTGACACGTTTCCCCCCGAGTCTCGACGCTCCCACCGTAAGTGCATGCACTGGGTCGAGGTGCTGCAGTGAGTGATGCAGTGGCCAGAGGCTCTGTGTAAAAAAACAAAAGCTAATTCTTCAGTTTTCACCCTTCTACTTGTCTTGGCAGAAAACAATTGCCCTCTGCCCTGCAGATCCCCCATGCCCTACCACAGTGACACCTGGGTGTCTCTCCTCACTTGTTGGCAGCACAATGGGGGTGCTGGGAATGGGGGAGGAATAATTAAAAAGAAATTACCCAAAGAGCATATGCACCCTCAGTCCTGGGAGTGTTTCACTGAAGGAAGCTTCCTAGTTCTTGTATTTAATAGCAAACTGAGTAGAACTCAAGCGATAACCCTGGCATGGCCCAAAAACCATTGCTCTCTTCTGCTACTGACACATCCTCTTCCCTGCAGGCCTCCTCGCTCACAGAATGGCTCAAGAAGATCCTCACAGCTGTATATGTACCTTCTCTTAAAGGTAGGGGGGGTCAAGGGTCCCCTCTCACCTCAGATTCTGCTGGATTTAGGGCTCTCTCCCTCCCCTTGCTGCCTTCATTCCGGGTTTCATCCCTGTGATGAGATTCTTACACCTCTTTTTGCAGATGCCTTCCATGTGTCAGTCCCACTGCCCAACGTCCTCAACACCAGCCTCAGGAACGCTGAAGTTGACATCACTGATGTAAGGATTGAGTTTTTCCACTGTGCTGTGTCCTGGGGAACGGGAATGTGCCCACCCAGGGCTGGGACATGCAGATCCCACAGCCCTGCACAACCCTGGCCAACCTCATTTCCCATGGGCTGCTCCCAGTTTCCCCTCTGATGGTGTAGACCCACAGGAAAACCACACCTGGGATACAGAAAAAGGCTGGTGAAAGTCTGAACGAGAAAACTGAATAGATTTTGTTCTGCTTCTTCCAGGTGGACGAGTTTTCCGGCCAGAGCACTCTACCGAGATCCTGCTCGGGAGGAGCCTCGATGCTGTTCCCTTTCTGAGGCAGCACATACACCCCAAACCCTGCTCTGCTCCACTTTCTCCCTCTTCCTTTCTCTCCAGCTCTGCCCTGTGCTCTGGCTGTGGCCTGAGCAGGACAGGCAGCAGCCTCTGGCCAGCATCAGGGTGGGAAACCTGCTTGGCTGGGGATGTTTGGGGTTTCCTGTGGCCACTTTTAACATCCAGAGCCAGGAAGCAGAGCTCATGGGCACAAAGGTTGCCCCCATATTGCTCTTTCAATAAAATCTCTCACTGTCACAGTATTTTCCTCTCTGGATATTTATTTATATGTGTTTCTGGCTCCCCACACCTGTTTGCCTGCTCCATGCCCCTGTGCCACGTGGGGCACAGATGGGTGGGGAGGCTGTGCCTTCAGAGGACAAACTGGTACCTGGAGAGAGCATTTCTGAAGCTCAGCCTGTGGCA